TTGTGAAAGGGATATCCAACTGCCAGTTTAGGCCTGGCAGTTGGACATCCCCTGAGGGGTCTCGGATTGGAGAGGGTGCAGGCTAGGCTGATCGGACCCCCTCCGTGCACGAATTTCATGCACCAGGCCTCTGGTAAAATATAAAATGGCAATAAACACCAATTCATCACTTTAAATATAAATGGATTGAATGTTACAATGACAAGACATAGTATTGAATGGATAAGAAAACAAGACTAATATACCTGCTCTCTATAAGAGGCCCAGCTAGGAATAAAAGACTCATGCAGACTGAAAGTAAAGGGATGAAAAAAGATACTTTATGAAAATGATAAAAAATGCTGGGGTAGGAAAATTCATACAAGACTGAAGAGACTTTAAAATGCAGGCTATAATAATACATAAAGAATCACATTACATAATAAAGGATCAATTCAATAAGAGAATATAATCCTACTAGAGGCCCAGTGCATGAAATTTGTGCAAGGGTGGGGGTTTCCCTCAGTCTAGCCTGCACCCTCTCTAATCTGAGACCCCTCAGGGGATGTCCGACTGCTTCTCACAATCTGGGACCACTGACCTGCCTGCCTGCCTGATTGTCCCTAACCCTTTTGCCTGCCTGCTTGATCACCCCTAACTGCTCCCCTACTGGCCTGATCACCCCTAACTTCTCCCCTGTTGGCCTGATTGCCCTTAACTGCCTCTGCCTCACCCTGCACTCAAGACCCAGGATTCCCTCCTCCAGCCAGTTGCAGGCACCCGGGACCCAAGCTTCCTTCCCTCTGGCCAGCCACAGGCACCCAGGACCCGAGCCGGCTTCACCTGGGCTGGCCACAGCTGCAGGGACCATGGGTGGGAGGCTTCACCCAGGCCGCAACTGCAGGCGCCAGGGTCCATAGGGCAGGCTGCTTGTCCCTCTCCCGGGCCGCAGCCTGGCTGGTTCCCATTCCTCTCTCGCAAGCTCATTTGTGCCTGAATGGTCCCCATTCCTCTCTCTCACGAGCTATTTGTGTCTGGCTGGTCCCTATTCCTCTCTCCACAGTGTTGAGTGTCTGAGCAGTTATGGTGTGATGGCATGAGGGTGTGATGACCATTTGCATATTAGCTATCTATTATATAGGATTAAAAATGTATGCACCAAGCAAAGTAGCATCTCAATATATAAAGCAAATGTTAATAAACTTAAAGGAAGAGATCAACAGTAATACTATTATATAAGGAAACTTTAACACATATTTGACATCAATAGATATATCTTTGTGAGAACCCTAATCAAAGTACTCTAGATATTCAAGGCCAATTTGAGTGTGGAGGCCATGTCCAGAGTATGCCAGATGCTCAAGACCAATTTGTCATATGCAGATGCAAAAGCAAGGACACAGTAATCATACTGTACACAATATGCAGGCGTGCCTTTCTGTAGCCCAAGTATTGATGTCACTATTTGGCAAGAAGTCTCTTTTGTCTAAGTTGGTATAAAGATGTGTTGTAGACCAGCTGGTGTGAGGATGCTTTTATGTAGAGCTGGGCTACTGTACTGGCTCCTATGGCTCCTGTGTTTGCTACTGTAGTAGCAAGGGCTACTTTGTACAGCTTCTTTTTGAGGCTACTTTAATGAACTGTTGCAACCCAAGGCCTTCCCTCTTGGCAGAGGGGGAACAGGATATAATCGCACCCCTTGGTCCAGCCCTGGTGATGTAACCAGTGTCCTACAAGAGATGGACAGTGAAGTATAAGCCATATAAGCCCTTTCCCATAATCCCCTCTGAGACTAGTGGGATAGACTGTCAGGGACATGGCATTAGGCATTTGTGAGTTTTGCTATTGAGCCCAGAGTACTGGTCATAACCTGCTATAGTTTGTATTGCTGTTATGGACTCTGTTTTCAAGGTGCTGGCGTGTGGGCCAGGGTACCCCGTAGAAACCACCCAGCATAAGAGGTGAGTGGGAACCCTAATCAAAGTACGCCAGATGTTCAAGGTCAATTTAAGTGTTGGGCTCTATCCAGAGTATGTCAGATGCTCAAGGCCAATTTGTCATATGTAGGTGCAAAAGCAAGGGCACAGCAATTGTACTCTATACACTGCACAGGCGTACCTTTCTATAACCAAAATAGTGTTGTCACTATTTGGCAAGAAGCCTCTTTTGTCTAAGTTGGTATAAAGATTTGTTACTGACCAGCCGAGGCTAGGCTGCTTTTATGTAGGGCTAGGCTACTTGGTTAGGCTGTTTTATTAGCAGTGGCTTCTTGGTATGGCTCCTGTGTTTGCTACTGTATCAGCAAGAACTCCTATGTTTGCGGCTACTTTGTAAAGCTACTTTGAAGAACTGCTTTGTTTGATGTCTCTTTGGTAGCAATGGCTACATAGTCTACAATATGGTCTCTCTTATATGCCCAATGATGACTTCTCATGTCTTCTCCATCTAATACATTCAAACTGCATCCATGAAGATGCAGAGGACCGGTCACCCCACATCTGGCTTAGCTGAGCAGGATCAAGGAGTAAGTACTCCGACACTCTTCCAGACAGAAAATCAGCAAAGAAACAGAAACTTTAAATGAAACCCTAGCCCATATGAATTTAATTGATAATTTCTGAGCATATCACACAACACAGCAGAATATACATTATTTTAAAATTCACAGTGAACATTTTTCAGAATAGATCCCATGTAAGGCCACAAAACAAGTCTAAATGATTTTTTAAAAGATTAAAATTATATTAAGTACCTTCTATCACCATAGACCACAATGGTTTGAAACTAGAAATCAATTACAAGAAAAAAAAAATGAAAAACACAGAAACATATGAAAGCTAAATGACATGTCATGAAACAATGAATGGGTTAAAAATGAGATTATGGAAATAAATCAAAATATACCTTGAGATAAATAAAAATGAAAACAAAGAAACTAAGGATTTACAAGGGCAAAAGCAGGCCTAAGAAGGAAATTTATAGCAATACAGGCCTACCTCAAGAAACAAGATAATGTCAAATAAACAATCTATCCTTATACCTATACCTAAATTTAATATTAAAAAAATAATACCCAAAATGAGAAGGAATAAAATGATAAAGATCAGAGTAGAAATAAACAAAATAGTCTCTAAAAATATAAAAGGTCAATTAAACCAAGAACAGTAATAATAATAAAAAAAATTCCCAACAGACAAAACTTCTGGACCAATGGCTTCACAGGTGAATTTTACTGAGCATTCAAAAACTAACATTTTTCTTTCTCAAACTGTTCCAAAAAAGGAGAGAAGATTCCAATGTTCATTTTAGAAGGTCAGCATTATCCTAATTCCAAACCTGGGTAAAGATACTACAAAAAAAGTATAGGTCAATTTCTGATTAACATAGATGCAAAAATCCTCAACAAAATATTCGCAAACATAATTCAGAAATAGATTTTTTAAAAGTCACACAACATAATGTAACGATATCTATTTCTAGGATGGTAGGTTGGTATAATATCTGTAAATCAATTAACATAATACACCACATAAACAAAATGGAAGATAAAATCATATGATCATATCATTAGATGCATATAAAGCATTTGACAAGAGCCATCACCCATTTATGATTAAAAAACTTAGCAAAGAGGGAATACGAAAACATACCTAAACATAATAGAGGATATATCTGACAAATTCACAGCTAATGCTATACTCATGGGGAAAAACTAAAAGCCCTTTTTTAAGATCAGGAACAGAGAGTGATTTTCATTTTTACCACTGTAATTGAACATATCACTGGAAGTACTAGCCACAGCAATAAGACAAAAACTAGAAATAAAATGCATCTCTATTATTTGCAGACGAGATAACACTGTATATAGATAGAACCCTACAAATTCCATTTAAAAAAAAAAAACTACTAGAACTGTTAGATGAATTCAGTAACAGCAGAATACAAAATATTCAGAAATCAGTTACATTTTTATAGATCAATAATGAACTATCAAAAAGTGACACTAAGAAAACAATCACATTTATAAGTGCACCAAAAACACTACCTAGAAAAAAATTTAACCAAGGAGCTAAAACATCTATATGCAGAAAATTAAGTGACAGCTCAGAAAACAATTGAAGATACCAATATATGGAATCATATAACATGCTCTTGGATGGGAAGAAATAACATCATTAAAATATCCATCCTACCCAAAGCAATTTACAGATTCAATGTAATTCTTGTCAAAATACCAATGGTATTTTTCACAGAACTAAAACAAATAATCCAAAAATGTATATGAAACTAAACAACAATGACAAGGAAAAATACCCGAATGGCCACAGCAATCTTGAAAATGAAGAACAGCCCTAGCTGGTTTGGCTCAGTGGATAGAGCGTCTGCCTGGGAACTGAAGGGTCATTTGATTCCAGTCAAGGGCACATGCCCGGGTTGGGGACTCAATCCTCAGTAGAGGGTGTGCAGGAGGCAGCCGATCACCAGTGTGGGGTGTGCAGGAGGCAGCCAATCAATGATTCTCTCTCATCATTGATGTCTCTAACTCCCTTTCCCTCTCCCTTCCTCTCTGAAATCAATAAAAATATATTAAAAAAAAGAAAATGAAGAAAAAAGTTGAGAGATCACATTAACTGATACTAAATTATGCAACAAGCCTATAAAAATAAGAAAAGCATAGGACCAGAATAAAAACAAACAAATAGATCAATGAAACACAATGGAGAGTCCAGAAATGAACTCATGCTTACTGATACATGGTCACTTAATACAGGGGTGGACAAAAGTAGATTTACAGTTATTTCCGGGAGCCGGTCCATCCTTGCTGCTTTACACAGTCGCTGCAGGAAAGAAACATCTGCACAGCATATGTTTCAAGGGACCTGGCGTATATAGCATACTGTTCTTAATATGTTTGCTCCCGTAAGCGCTATGTGTTTTAACCAAGGTCACCTCTCCGAGAAAGGTGACCTTGGAATGGAGATAACAAACGCCCTTACCCTTGGGATAGAATGGATAGGATTAAAATCAACTGGTAGAAATACAGATGTAAAAGGAGAATAAAGACAGAACCTGGCTGGAGAACCTGGCTAGAAGCTGGCTAGGCTGCTGATCAACTAAACGCTGTCTCCATGTCATTCCTTCTTTGCCAACTCCATCCACACCTTTGGGGACCTCTGGAGCTGCTGGGGTTGGACCCCAGCAAGTTATGATCACGCAAAAATACAGTTTATTCTTGTATTATTATTTATTAATTATTGTATTATTTTCCTTACGAACAACTATAAATCTACTTTGCCCATTTCTGTATACGACAAGGGAAGAAATAACATAAAATATGGGTAAAGACAGTCTATGCAATAAATGGTGTTGGAAAATTTTACAGATATATACAAAAAAATGATACTAGGACACCTTTTTACATGACATAAGAACAACCTAAAAAAAAAGAAGAACCTAAAAATGGTTTAAAAACATAAATGTAAGTCTCAAAATCATAAAGCTCCTACAGGAAACATAGGTAGTAAAATCTCTGAAAATTTTCTTAGCAATATTTATTTCTGATATATCTCTTCAGGCATAGAGAACAAAAGAAAAAAATAAACAAGTGAGGCTACATCAAAATATTTTTTTTTGCACAGCAAAGTAAACCAAAAACAAAATGAAAGGTCAACCTGCTGGATGAGAGAAGACATTCGCCAATGATCCATCAGATAAGGGATTAATATCAAAGATTTCTCTCATACAACTCAAATGCAAAAAAAAAATAAATAAACCCAATTGAGAAGTGAGCAGAGTACCTAAAAAGATAATTCTCCAAAGTAGACATACAGAGACGGCCAATTGACATGTGAAATGTTGCTCAACGTCATTAATTATCAGAGAAATGCAAATTAAAACCACAATGAGATATCACCTCACACCTATCAGAATAGCTTTAATCAATATATCTATAATAATAAAAGTGTAATATGCTAATTAGACTGGACATCCTTCCGGAAAAGCTGCAGCTGGCAGGGGCAGAGGCAGAGGAAGATACAGCAGAATTCTGGCTGCCCATGGTCGCGGCAGGGCGGGCGGGGGCTGGGGCCAAGGCCCTTGCATGAATTTTGTGCATTGGGCCTCTAGTTTGGTTATAAGTCTTGGCAAGGGAGAAAAGAGAACCTTTATGCACTGTTGGGGAGAATGCAGACTGGTGTAGCCACTGTGGAAAACAGTATGGCGGTTTCTCAAATAATTGAAAATGGAACTGCCTTATGACCCAGTGATTCCACTTCTGGTATATATCTGAAGTAACCCAAAATACTAATTCAAAAGAATATATACACCCTTATATTAATTGCAGCATTATTTACAATAGCCAAGACATAGAAGCCATCCAAGTTCTAAAGAATAGATGAGTGGATAAAGAAGAAAATGTACACATGTACAATTGAATATTATTCAGCCTTAAAAAGAATGAAATCTTACCTTTTGTGATGTTATGTATGTATGGATCTAAGTGTATTATGCTAAGTGAAGTAAGTCAGGCAGAGAAAGACAAATACCATATTATTTCACTTATATGTGGAATACAATTCTACAATACATCATCTGTATTTTGTATGGTGTGTTTAGCAACCCAAGTCAAGTATCTTCCCATCAACATTTTTTCCCCATTTCCCCACTTCTACCTCCCCTATTTCCCTTTACCTCTAGCAATCACCATACTGTTGTCTGTGTCCATGAGTATTTCTTTCTTTTATTGAAACAGGGGGCCAGTTCACTGTCCCTCAGACCGTTGGAGGGCCGGACTATAGTTTAAAAAAAACTATGAACAAATTCCTATGCACACTGCACATATCTTATTTTGAAATAAAAAAACAAAACGGGAACAAATACAATATTTGTATTTGCATGTGGCCCGCAGGCCGTAGTTTGAGGACCCCTGGCTTAAACAGTAGTCTTTAAATCAAGAGACTTGGTTTAAATTCTGATTTTACTACCAGACTCCCCTCCTATCTCATATGCTGTTTTAAGTATTTAGTGATATAGTAAAAATGTAACACTTAACAAAAGGCCTGAAACATAATAGTGGACTATTTTAAATATAACACTTAGGTCAAAGATAATTCATTCTTTGGGCTTCAGTTTCCTTAAAGCTAACAATTCAATTAGTTTGAATGAACCCAGATTTTTTTTTTACAAAAATAGTAAATGACTTGGAATATAAACTGAAATTTACTTTTGATCAAAAGACAGTTTCAATTTAAGTTAAAGACGAGAGATTTTGACAATGAATATTCCAGATAACTTGCAACCTTCAAATTACAGATTAGAAAATACTTCAGAAAAATTTATTCAATCTCTAGCACATTAGTAATGAAGAAACTAAAAACAAGATAAATTAACTAATAGATTATCAGTGATCAAGATGGAATTCCTGAAATCCTGTGATAGTATGCTTTATGTTACATCACATCTATTAATTAATCTGAATAATTATATAAAATTTTGTCATAAATATAGTGAAAATATTTTAGTCTTTAGACTTTTAGACCCTTGAATGATTTTAATTACTTCAAGGATAAATAAAAGTGGGTGAGATGTTTTCTTTTCATTAAAAACAATTTTAGTATTTTAGTACTATAAGGAGCTTCACTTGATTTATGTGATTCTTATATTTCATCTCAAGACAATAAGTCTGATATATTAGCTTACATAATTCACATATTGGTAGGTATTTTAGTCAACATCATAGTATAATAACTATATTATTGATGATATGAGATTGGACTGTGCATTTTAGCATCATTTGAGTGCTTATATGGAACATTTTGAATCAGCTAATGAAATATTTAAGATGGGTAAGAAGTTTTTAGCGTGCAACAAATATTTTTGCAAAATGTTAATTTCTGTAAAATAAGTGAATCTATGCACAGATGCATCCTGACAGAGGCTTTGATTTAGAAGTGTTTTGCATGCCAAATAACTTGTTTACCCCTTTAATGTTTGCCAAGTTTACTGTTAATTTACAAATAATTTCCATTTTGCTGTTTATTTCCATTTTGCTTTTGATGGATATGTCTTCCAGACTTTTATCTTGCATGTAGACAAGCTAATTAATATTTTCCCTTCAGGCGAACATTTTTTCTTAGATCTAAATGTGGGTTAGATTCTTCTTCATTTCCATGTGCTTTGTTCTGTCAATCATCTATGTTCTGTGTGGCTAAAAATGTAGCTCAGTGGATAGTAATTTCCAACTTTTATAGCCTTTATGCATACACACATACACACAAACACACACACTGAACTTATCTAACAGTCTATATATATAGACATATAGTGTGGATTCAATTGGAAAAAAATACCTTTGTGATAACATGCAAATTTGAGAAACCAACTTTCAATGTAGGAAAGAACATACTTGAAATAACCTTGTGGTTTTTTATTATGACCCTAGTGTGCTTGGCTATTGATGTACAAAAACTCAAGGTTCCTCACTGTGCTGAAGCTCCAAGTCCAGATTATATAGTGTCTCTTCACCCCTGTGTCTATTTTTAAACTTTCTTAAAGGTAAATATGAAAATGCAATTAGATGTAAGCGCAGACAATGTACAAATGCTATATAATAAAAGCCTAATATGTTAAGTGTCTGGTTGTCTGTTCTTCCATTCAACCAATCAAAATGCAATATCCTAATGATATGCTAAGGCCATTCAACTGCTCGCTATGATGTGCACTGACCACCAGGGGGAAGAAGTTCCTACCAGTAGGGTCTGGCTGATCGGGACTGAGTGAGATGGGCCCCACCCCCCACCGCAGGTCACTGTCTTTGTGGACAATCAGGGCCCCTCTTGCTCACAGCAGCCTTGGCCTGGGAAAAGGACATCCACAGGACTATTGGCACCCAGGGATTTGAGATCTGGGTGCCATAATTACGGAAGACTGAGCCCAGAGGGGGCAGCCTGAAGCGCTGACCAGACCATATAGTGCCAGTAAGAGAGGAGTCACAGATACTCAGTCTTCCCCATTTATGCAGACGGCATTTTTTTTTTCACTGAACCCTGTTCATAGGACATTTCGGATACAGACACTCACCTGTGCTAAGGAGTGGGAGAAGATGCGTACGAGTGGAATCTGGGGAGAGGCTGGGGAGAGAAGATGTTCCAGGAGAGGTGGCAGCAAGTAGAGTGCTGTGTCACACTTGAGCCCAGGACCTGGGCAGCCATTTTTTCCTGAAGGTATAACCCCTCCCTCCAGTCTCCAGGCAAGGAATACAGCCAACACCCAGAATCCATCCTGAAAGGTACGAAGGATTAAAAAAATCTGATTAGTCCCTGGGAGTTAACAGGATCTGGCCTATAGAGAGGTCCTCAGTCTCAACAACAGAAAAAAAAAAATCTCAGACACTCCAGAAGACTGGGATCTTAAGCCAGCCAAAGGAATGACATTTCAATTTTTCATTTTTATATTTTTTATTATTATTTTGTTAGCTCTTTTTTCTGTTTTTTTTTATTGTTTTCCTTTTTTTGTTTGGTGTTTTATTCTCTCTTTCTTTTCACATTATGTTTC